CGCCCCGCTGACACCTGCGCAGCTTCCTCCCCGGTTCTCCCCAGTCACCACAGGCGGCTGGGCGCGTGCAGGCAGCACAGGATGCTAGGAGGCAGGGAAGGGCTCAAGTTCAGTCCCTGGAGGAAGGGACAGGCCTTGCTGTGTTAGGAGGCTGGTGCCGGTCCCCAGCTCTGCTGTGGCTGCCTGAGACCCGGCCAGGCTGTCACCCTCGCTCAGCCTCCTCCTCTGCAGTCGGGACTGGTCCACCTGATCATTGAACCCATACACACGAAGCACTTAGGACACCCCCTGGCATGTAGCGGGAGCCCCAAATCCGTGGGCCGGGCCACGTGCTGAATGCTGGGGTGGGAATGAGCCCGACTGGATTTCAAGGCCGGCAGGGAGAAACACAGGCAGCACAATGACCTCAGATGGTGATAGAAGTGATGAACAAGAGTGATTGTGGGGGACCCCAGAAGCTGGGCTCTTTCTGAAGGGCAGGCTGGGGGACCGGCTTCCTGTTATGGTGGCTCTGAGGTGGGCTGGGTGCGGGGGCTGAGGTAGTAACCTAGGGGTAGGCAGAGGGGCATGCCAGGAGCGGGGGTGAGCCCATGGGGCCTGAAGGCCAGAGCTCAGGGCTTGGAGGTAGCTGGAAGGAGTGATAGGCAACGAGGGAAGCCATGGGAGGAGCCAGGTGACAGGGCCTGTCCCTCCCTGAGGACTCCGGCTGTACTGAGGCAGGCAGGATCCAAGGGAGGGAGGGAGCCTCCTTAGATATATAAGAAGCCCCCGGAAATCAGGGCAGAAGCAGGGTGGAGACTGCTCAGACCTGCCTCTGGGGCCGTGCCCACCACCGCCCGTTCCAGGGTAACAGGCTGAGCCCGACAGGTTCAGAGATTCGGTGAACACCCGAACCGCCTGACGGAAATGCAGGCCCTCAGGTCCCCCTTAGAGGGCTTCAGCGGGGGGCTGTGGTGAGGCCCAGGAATCTGGGAACCTCACGTGGAGAACTCTAGAAGCTTCCGAGAGCATCCAGCTCAAGAGTTTACCATTCACAGGGTCAGCGTAGAGGTTTTGTCTCCACGTGTCCGGATTCTCGCGTTCCCGGGGAGTAATGACCAGAGCCTGGCCCCGCGGCCTCTGGCCTGACCACCGCACAGGAAAGCATGTTCCTCCGAAGTCTGTTTCTCAGATTTGGGGATTCAGAGTCTGATTCAAATGTCCTGAATCCTCCTTCCTTCTCTCTCTCTCTCTCTCTCTCTCTCTCTCTCTCTCTGTTCTTCACCTGTAAACTGGGGCTCTGAGTGCACCACCCGGTGGTGGCGGTGGAGGTTCCAATCAGACACATCCTTCTAACAAACACTCGAGGGGCACCCACCGCCTATGCCAGGCGCGGGGGCACAGCAGGGCCGGCACTGGCCCGGTCCCGAGGGCCACTATGATACTGCTGGTCTCTTCAGAGCCAGATTCTGAGAGTCTGGCTTCCTGAGATCCGGTAGTTCCGACATGGGGGGCTGAGGCGGCAGGTTCTGCTTCTCTAAAGACGCTGACCTTCTAGTTAATTCCAGCGTGCCGGGTCAGACTCGCTCAATCAAGACATGCTGAATGAGAAAGTCTTAAGGACCTGCCAGAATTGGGACCCTCAGAGGCAGGTGCTGGGGTTCCGGGGTCCGTGTCTGGTTGTGGCCCCGCCCTTCAGTCCCTGGTCCTGACCCCCAGCAGGCAACAGGAAGCAGGAGGCAGGCTGGGGTGAGGGCTCTGAGCTTCTCAGTGGAGATTTCTGAGGCAGGGGCCTCTGCGGCATGACTTTGGGCCATCACCTCTCTTTCCAAGTCTGCTCCCTCAGCTTCAAGGGGGTAGTGACAACAGTGCCTGCCTCAGAGGACCTCACATGAGGACTCAGCAGATCAAGAGCTCAACACATCCTCCAGGAGGCAGGAGAGAGCGAGGCCTCAGATCCTGGGGGTGGGGCTCATGAGGACCTGGGTGAAAATCCTGCCTCTGGCCCTGACTGGCTGTGTGTCTGTGGGCAGGTGTCTCTACCTCTCTGGTTATCTATAGAATGGGGCAGTAGTGACTCAAGGGCTGTTGTGAGGATGAAAAAGGTGCATCCAGAGCTGTGCTTGGCAATCTAGGGGCCACTATCACTGGGGAGAAGGGGGGGGGAGGGGTTGTGAGTGGCAGGAGCAGGCGCAGGGCAAGCGGAGTCCTCTCCCAGGAAGCCCTCCTTCGTTCCTCAGTCTCCCTCACCCCTCACACAGCTTCCTGATTGGAGAAGACGGGCTCGTGTATGAGGGCCGGGGCTGGAAGATCAAGGGTGACCACAGCGGGCCCACCTGGAACCCCAGAGCCATCGGCATCACCTTCATGGGCAACTTCATGGGTGAGTGGCTGTCCCGCCGGTCAGGACAGGGCGCCACGGCCCGGGGGGCACAGCACGGTGTGTAGTTAAGAGGCTCTGCCACCCACAGGCTCTGTGACTTTGGACAAGTGACTGCTTTTCCGAGTCTCACTTCCTCCTTTTGGGATAAGGAGAACTGTCGGCCACACGGTTCGGATGAGGACTGGCTAATCTATGTAAACGTTCTGGGGCCAGGCCCTGCCACCTAAGAAGTGCTTGACAAGATCACTGTGTTGGGCAGGACCCGAAGGCCTAGGGCCGTGGTCGGCAAACCGCAGCTCGCGAGCCGCATGCAGCTCTTTGGCCCCCGAGTGTGGCTCTTCCACAAAATACCACGTGCGGGCATGTACAGTGCGATTGGAACTTCGTGGCCCATGCGCAGAAGTCGGTTTTCGGCCTGGGCGAGTCTGTTTTGAAGAAGTGCTGTTGATATTTGGTTCTGTTGACTAATGGGTTTGCCGACCACTGGCCTAGGGACCCAGGAGGAGAATGACAATGACCCTGACAGCCAGCACCTGCTGTGCCAGGCGCCATTCCGAGGGCTTTACACACACTAACTCGTCTTACGGTCCCAGAGCTCTGTGGCAGGTGCCACTATTCTCTCCTTTCACAGATGGGGAAACTGAGGCACAGAGAGGTTAAGTCACTGGTGGGGAGTGGCAGACGGGATTCTAGGATCTAGCGGGCAAAGCTGGGAGTGCACAAGCGGAACCCCTACCCTCTCTACCTCTGCCCTTTGAGGAAACCCCAGCTTAACTCCTGCCTCTGCCCCCACAGAGCGGTCGCCCCACCCCCGGGCCATCCGGGCGGCCAAGAGTCTGCTGGCTTGTGGAGTGGCTCGGGGAGCTCTGCTTCCCAACTATGAGGTCAAAGGGCACCGGGACGTGCAGCAGACGCTCTCTCCAGGCGACCGGCTCTACGATATCATCCAGGAGTGGCCACACTACAGGG